TCCAGTGACTCTCAAGGTGGTCCTAGTGGCATTAAGAAACAGAGAAGAGAAGCAACCCCAGAAAAGCAAATGGTACCTGAGGTGTTGATGGAAGGGGATTCCCCTTCCAAACTATAAACAATCCACTCTCTCTCCTCCTCCAGTCTCCCATACACTAAGAAGAATCTCCAATAAAGGTAAGTGTTATGCTGTTAATGTTTCATTCATCATTTCCCATTGTATTGTTTATGTACTACATGTATATTTCATGTTAAAAATGTTTTTGTTTTAATACTTCTGGGTGTCAGGAACGGATTAATTGTATTTACATTATTTCTTATGGGGAAAATTGATTCGTAAATCGTAAATTTTGTTTATAGTAACTGCTCCAGGAACGGATTAATTACAAAAAATGAGGGACCACTGTATCTGAAAACATTCACTTCTTCTATAATCCCTTTCTCCAATGTGATATCCAATTTTTCTTTATCTAAATCATTTCATACCCTCATCACCTTACTCTTACCTAGGTTCACTTTCAACTTTCTACCTTTACACACCCTCAAAAACTCGTCCACTAACCTTTGTAACTTTTCTTTAGAATTTCTCAAAAGCACAGTATCATCAGCAAAAAGTAACTGTGTCAACTCCCATTTTGTATTTGATTCCCCATAATTTAATCCCACTCCTCTTCCCAACACCCTAGCATTTACTTCTTTTACAACCCCATCTATAAATATATTAAACAACCATGGTGACATTACACATCCTTGTCTAAGACCTACTTTTACAAGGAAGTAATCTCCCTCTCTCCTACACAACCTCACAATCCTCATAAAAACTATTTACAGCATTTAGTAGCTTACTACCTATTCCATCCACTTGCAACATTGCCACACTGCTCCCCGATCCACTCTATCATATGCCTTTTCAAATTCCATAAATGCAATGGAAACTTCCCTACCTTTATCTAAATACTGTTCACATATATGATTCAATGTAAACACTTGATCTACACATCCCCTACCCATTCTAAAGCCTCACTGCTCATCTGCAATCCTACTCTCTGTTATTTATTTATCTATTTATTTATTAACACATCAGCCAATTCCCACCAAGGCAGGGTGGCCCGAAAAAGAAAAACTTTCACCATCATCCAATCCATCTCTGTCTTACCAGAGGCATGCTTTACACTGCAGCTATAAAACTGCAACATTAACACCCCTCCTTCAGAATGCAGACACTGTACTTCCCATCTCCAGGACTCAAGTCCAGCCTGCCAGTTTTCCCGAATCCCTTCATAAATGTTACTTTGCTCACACTCCAACAGCACGTCAAGTATTAAAAACCATTTGTCTCCATTCACTCCCATGAAATACGCTCATGCATGCTTGCTGGAAGTCCAAGCCTCTCGTACAAAAAACTTCCTTTAACCCCCCCCCCCCTCCACCCTTTCCTAGGCCGACCCCTACCAAGCTTTCCCTCCACTACAGATTTATACACTCTCGAAGTCCCTTTCTGTTTTGGTAATCCCACACCTCTTCCTAATTTCCAAACTACAAATTCTCTGCATTATATTCACACCACACATTGCCCTCAGACATGACATCTCCGCTTTCTCCAGCCTTCTCCTCATTGCAACATTAATTACCCATGCTTCACACCCATATAAGGAGTTGGTATAATCATACTTTCATACATTCCCTCTTTCCTTCCACAGACAAAGTTTTTTGTCTCCACAGACTCCTAAGTGCACCACTCACCCTTTTCCCCTCATCAATTCTATGATTCACCTCATCCTTCATAGACCCATCTGCTGACACGTCCACTCCCAAATATCTGAATACATTCACCTCCTCCATACTCACTCCCTCTAATCTGATATCCAATCTTTCGTCACCTAATCTTTTCGTTATCCTCATCACCTTACTCTTTCTTATATTCACTTTTAATTTTCTTCTTTTACCAAATTCATCAACCAACCTCTGTAACTTCTCTTCAGAATCTCCCAAAAGCACAGTGTCCCTCAGCAAAGAGCAACTGTGACAACTTCCACTATTGTGTTTGATTTTTTTATCTTTAATTCCCCACACCTCTTGGGCCAAGACCCTCGCATTCAAATTTTCTTACAACCCCATCTATAAAAATAAGAACAACTAAAGTGACATCACACATCCTTGTCTAAGGCCTACTTTTACTGGGAAATAATCCCCCTCTCTCCTACATACTCTAACCCGAGCCTCACTATCCTCGTAAAAACTCTTCGCTGCTTTCAGTAACCTACCTCCTATACCATACAGCTGCAACATCTGCCACATTGACCCCCCTATCCACCCTGTCATATGCCTTTTCCAAATCCATAAATGCCACAAAAACCTCCTTAGCCTTATCTAAATATTGTTCACCTATATGTTTCACTGTAAACACTTGGTCAACATACCCCCTACCTTTCCTAAAGCCTCCTTATTCATCTGCTATCTACTCTCCGTCTTACTCTTAATTCTTTCAATAATAACCCTACCATACACTTTACCTGGTATACTCAGTAAACTACTACTTCTCATTTCAACAAACTGGCCGTATCCCACCAAGGCAGGGTGGCCCAAAAAGAAAAACAAAAATTTCTCTTTTTAAATTTAGTAATTTTTACAGGAGAAGGGGCTACTAGCCCCTTGCTCCCGGCATTTTAATCACCTCTTACAACACGCATGGCTTACAGAGGAAGAATTCTGTTCCACTTCCCTATGGAGATAAGAGGAAATAAACAAGAACAAGAACTAGAAAGAAAATAGAAGAAAACCCTGAGGGGTGTGTGTATATATACACCTACCATCTGACTTACGACCGAGTTCGGTTCCGATAAACCGGTCATGAGTCGAAATGGTCCTAAGTCGAACTTTACTACTGAATATCAACAAAGCATTTTTGTAATGACTTTATTTTATTGTTTTATTTTGGTATTTCATGTTTTACTTTACTTTTTATGCTGTTAGTACTGTATTTTATACTGTAAGGTTTAGGATAAACACTGTGTACAACACAAATAGTTGTTTATTTCCCAGAAATTTGGCATAAAAAACATGGTCGTAAGTCGAGTGGTCGTAAGTCGAGCAGGTCATAAGTCGGATGGTAGGTGTATATACTTGTACATGTATGTGTAGTGTGACCTAAGTGTAATTAGAAGTAGCAAGACATACCTGAAATCTTGCATGTTTATGAGACAGACAAAAGACACCAGCAATCCTACCATCATGTAAAACAAATACAGGCTTCCATTTTACACTCATTTGGCAGGACGGTAGTACCTCCTTGGGCAGCTGCTGTCTACCAACCTACTTCCTAAACTCAGTAAACTTATTCCCCTATAATTTTTACAACCTTTTTTCCCCCTTCCCTTTATATAAAGGAACTATACATGGTCTCTCCCAATCCCTAGGTACCTTCCCCTCTTTCATACATTTATTAAACAAAAACACCAATCACTCCAACATTATATCCTCCCCTGCTTTTAACATTTGTCATGATCCCATCAGTTCCAGCTGCTTTACCCCCTTTCATTCTACGTAATGCCTCGCACACCTCCCACGCTCACATCCTGCTTTCTTCACTCCTAAAAGATGTTATACCTCCTTGACAAGTGCATGAAATTACCGCCTCCCTTTCTTCATCGACATTTAAAAGTTCCTCAAAATATTCCTGCCATCTATCCAATACCTTCAGCTCCCCATCTACTACTCCCCTACTCTGTTTTTAACTGACAAACCCAATCCATTCATTCCCAAGGTTTCTTTATAGTGGATTTTTTTATTTTGTGTAAAATTGGCCAAATTACCAATTTCTGTGCACTTTGAACTTTACAGGGTAGTTGCAATAGTTGAATGGGAGGTATCTTGCACTCAGTTGATAGAATGAAAGGCATACTAGTGAAATAGCTAAGAAACTGGTCAAATGGAGCAATGGACTTGACTTAAAACAGGACTCAAACTGGGAAAAATAGCCGTTGAGTAAATTGTGCCCAGACTGCTAACTTTGCATCTGCATAATTCGTTAAGTTTTCCATTAAATTTCATATTTTTTATATTGCCTACAGAAAAAGATTCTCTATCTCTAGCCTTTCAGAAGAATTTTTTTTATTTAATGTTTTTTAAAGTGGACACTGCATCACCCCTACCCCCACCTTATACTATTACCCCACAACATGGTTGACCTGCATCACCCGCTACCCCCACCATAGATTAATACCAACAATATGATTGACCTGCATCACCCCTACCCCCACCATAGATTAATATCAACAACATGGTTGATCTGCATCACCCCCTACCCCCCCCCCCAGACTAAATTAGGGTAAACATATATTTTTGGATTTCACAGTTTTTTTTTATCCTTACAGTTTTGGTCTTGAGAGAATAATTTTCTTGAATATTATGTATCTCTATTTACATATAACAAATGGCCAGGAACACTGCACTACTATTGAGCCATAAAGCCAATTCATAAATATTTATTTCAATAATGAAGTTTATGGTTAAGTATAAATCACATTAAAAAACTCTGTTTGCATACGATTTCAGGGAGAACAAAGCTCATCTGTTGAATGGGGAATGAATGTATATACTTCATACTGTAATACTGTACAAACTAAAAGTATAGAATATTATGTAAATAAAGAAATGGTAAGTGAACGAAATACTCTAATAAGAATCCTCCAATACATCAAGAAATAATACATAAAACCCAAAATATATGAGGATGACAAAATGCAAACACCTCCAAGTTATAAACATCCACACTTACAAACTTAGAAACCAATTAAAATCTTACAAGAATTGTGCTGTAGTGTGAAAATGCAATCTTCCTCTTCATAACTGTTGTCTATACAAAAAACTGATTTGCAATGTGAAAACTCAGAACCACAACTTGCTTGTAAATTGAAATGCCACCTACACTCTGCGGTAAATCAAATTACTGCAGGCAAGCAAAGACTAATGCACAGTAGTGCTATGATAAGTAGGTCTCACCTCAGCATTGAAGATCTTGTACTCGTGGAGTATCATTTGCACCATCTTCTCATCAATCTTTGTGAGGGTACAGGTTGCATTAAATTTGATTCCTCCAACCTTCTTTTGCTGTATAACAAATGAAACAGTATTATACAGTAGAAATATCTAAATAAAAATATTTGAAACTTAAATTGCACATAGACATTGAGCCCAAATTAATTTCTACTAAAAAAAAAAAAAAAAAAAAAAAAAAAAAAAAAGTGTCCATTTTTTTAATATCATTAAATGCACTGCATTAAGTGGATATCTTTTAACAAAGACCCTAATCTTTCCAGCACATCTAGAGGTTTCCTACATATTAGCATATTGCCAAGATGTGACTCGCAGAAGGAATGAGTTTCTAAGGCATTTGCATAGTAATTTTCACTCATCAGCTAACGTATAGGCATTTGTTTTTACTGCTAAGTGGACAGGGGCAGCAAGGGTTTAAGAAAAATATATCCACATGTTCTAACAACCAGGACCTTCTGGCCGAGAGCCTGATAATCTCACCCCTGAGTTATTTGGCTCCGTGTTGATCATGTGATTACAGTGAAGCACAAATGAGCAATGTTGTGGTAAAGGGAAAGAAGCAGCGTTGTGGTAAAGGGGAAGCAGCAGTGCTGTGGTAAAGGGACAGAAGCAGTCTTGTGGTAAAGGGGAAGAAGCAGTCTTGTGGTAAAGGGGAAGAAGCAGTCTTGTGGTAGAGGGTAAGAAGCAGTTTCTTGCATCGATATGGTTGAAAACTGCCAAATTGTTTAAATATGTTAGATTTACTATAAGAGGATCCTATACAGAACACAAGAAGATCTTTGTATTCCTTACACCTTTATTCACTAACTATGGTCTTTTGTAGGATGCATCACTTGTGACAAAAATCAGTATTTCACAGGATGCAGGGACATCACTGTCTGCATTTCAGTTTATTTTGAGGACAGGTGGCAACCTCCCCAGCCCTCCTTCACACCAGCAACATAATCCAAATTTTATTTTTATAATTACCCATTAATTAAATGCTCAATTCATTTTCCATGCCTAAATCACTTTCCTCAAACACTTTCTTGCAAATGACAAAATTAAGAACACTAAAGCAATCTTTAAATAGACTTTCTTTCTTTCAACACACCGGCCATATCCCACCAAGGCAGGGTGGCCCAAAAAGAAAGACGAAAGTTTATCTTTTAAATTTAATAATTTATATGGGAGAAGGGGTTACTAGCCCCTTGCTCCCGGCATTTTAGTCCCCTCTTACAACACGCATGGCTTACGGAGGAAGAATTCTGTTCCACTTCCCCATGGAGATAAGAGGAAATAAACAAGAACAAGAACTAGAAAGAAAATAGAAGAATACCTAGAGGGGTGTGTATATATATGCTTGTACATGTATGTGTAGTGTGACCTAAGTGCAAGTAGAAGTAGCAAGACATACCTGAAATCTTGCATGTTTATGATACAGACAAAAGACACCAGCAATCCTACCATCATGTAAAACAATTACAGGTTTTCGTTGTACACTCACTTGGCAGGACGGTAGTACCTCCCTGGGCGGTTGCTGTTTACCAACCTACTACCTAGGAGTGAACTTATGTCAGGAACAAATAGTGAACCTGTGTCAGCAACATATAAACCTGTGTCAAGAGTGTGCAATACAACTGAATAATATACACCATAAGAATAAAATACACATTTATGAAAATTTCTTAAACTGTGCAGTGCTACAGAAATTTATTTCACTACCATTAGCTACTTTTCCATTTGCTGTTTAAACTACTTTAAAATCAACTAATAAACTTTCATAAGCCATATTACCAAGAGGTCCACTAGCATCTGCAATAATAATTTTTAGTCATTGAAATATTGTCCCATTTCTGCAACCAAAGATGCTTATTTTACTACTGAGTGTCACCAATTTCTTCTTCTAGGTCTTCAATTTGCTGTATAACCTCATCTTTCTTTTTCACTTTTTCCAGTTGTTCGCGTTCTGGATTTTTTAGTTCACCGTTTGCAATCTGCTTCTCCAGCTTCTCAATGTCGCGCAGTTTCTTCTTTAGATTACGTAATCGCTTGGCAGGATCAGAAGTTGATGGCTGTTTCCCTCCGGCAACTGTGTTGGAAATGTGTGTTTTCCAAATCTTTGGTTATTTCCATGTCTGCTGCTGCAGCTTTCTTTTTGGCTGCTGCTGCTTTCTTTTTCTGTGACTTGGACATTCCATGTTTCGCCGAAAGTGCTAAGCCTGGGATGCCCACATCGTTCATTTAAATAGACATGGCTAAAAAAACAAACTGAACAGCCAAACCTGCCACAGAATTTTCTGAATACAGTGGACCCTTGGTTATCAGTAACTTTTCCTGTCAAAATATAGCCTTGGTTTTCGTGATTTCCCTTGAATTTCGGCGGTCGTACGGTACGTGTCCCAGTGGCCCCATGCACACAAAGCCTCCCACAGATGCATTCAAGAGTCAGTCTGGCATTGTTTCTCAGCGAGTGAGCATCACCCCCATGTTCATACAAAACATTTCATAATAATCCACATTTTTCTGTGCTTGCAACTGCTAAATAAGCCACCATGGGCCCAAAGAAAGCTTCTAGTGTAGCCCTTTGGTAAAGAAGGTGAGAAACACAATAGAATTAAAGAAAGAAATCATAGAAAAATATGAAAGTGGCGTATGTGTGGCCGAGATTGCCAGGACGTACGGTAAGCCACATTCAACTACCACTTTCATCGTGGGGAAGAAAAAGGAAATCAAGGACGCTGATGTTGCGAAAGGAATAAATGTGCTAACGAAACAGAGATCACAGGTAATCGAAGATGTGGAGAAATTGCTGTTGGTGTGGCTCAACCAAAAACAGTTAGTGAGAGATAGTGTTGTGCAGTCGATAATTTGCAAAAAGGCAAGGCAGCTGCATACCAATCTCGTAAAGAAAATGACTAGAACAAGTGCTGATGAATAGTGAATTTAATGTTAGCAAAGGCTGTTTCAAAAATTTCAAGAAGCAAAGTGGCAAACACAGTGTTGTAAGGCATGGTCAGGCAGCAAGCTCAGACAAACATGCGGCTGAAAAATTCATGCATGAATTCAAGGAATATGTAGAGGCTTAAAGATTCCTCCCCCAACAAGTGTTCAATAGAGATGAAATCAGCCTCTTTTGGAAGAAAATGCCAAAGAGGACCTACATCATGCAGGAGGAAAAGGCACTGCCAGGACACAAGCCTATGAAAGACAGGCTAACACTCTTGTTCTGTGGTAATGCTTGTGTGGATTTCAAAGTGAAGCCTTTACTGGTGTATCACTCTGAAAATCCCAACGTTTTCAAGAAAAACAGTGTCATCAAGAGTAAATTGTGTGTGATGTGGAAGGCTTAACAATAAGGTATGGGTCACAAGGGAAACTTTCCTTGTTTGGTTCAATGAAGTGTATGGCCCAAGTGTGAAGAAATGCCTCCTGGATAATAAATTGCCACTCAAGTGCCTCCTGGTAATAGACAATGCTCCTGCTCATCCTCCAGACTTGGATGACCAATTGTTGGAGGAGTTTAGTTTCATCACAGTGAAGATCTTGCCCCCTAATACCACTCCTCTCATTCAGCCCATGGACCAGCAGATCATTTAAAACTTCAAAAAACTCTACACCAAAACAATGTTTCAAAGGTGCTTTTATGTGGCCTCAGACACTGAACTGACCCTAAGAGAGTTCTGCATAACCCTCATAGATAAGACTTGGCAGAGAGTGATTTCCAGGACGATGAACTCTGCTTGGAGAAAATTGTGGCCAGAATGTGTCCAAGAGAAGGATTTTGAAGGTTTTGGGGATGACCCTGTAGACCCTACACCTGTTGTGAAATATATTGTGGCATTGGGAAATTCCATGGAGTTGGATGTGAATGGCCAGGATGTGGAAGACTTGGTGGAGGACCACAGTGAAGAGCTAACCACTGAAGAGCTGCAAGAGCTTCATCTGCAACAGCAACAGACTACAAGAGGAAACTGCTTCACAGGAGGAGGAAGAGAGAGGGAAGAAGGTGCCTTCTTCAAGATTAAGGACATTTCTGCAAAGTGGGGCGAGGAGCAAATGTTTGTGGAAGAACATAACCCTAACAAAGCTGTTGTAGGCCGTGTCTGCGACACGTTCGATGACAATGCCTTGTCCCATTTTAGGCAAACCTTAGAGAGATGCCAGAAACAGAGCTCTCTGGAACAACTTTTTGAGCAACAGGGGTCTAGTGACTCTCAAGCTGGTCTTAGTGCCATTAAAAAACAAAGAAGGGAAGTAACCCCGGATATGTACTCGGTACCTAAAATCTTTTCGGAAGGGGATTTCCCTTCCAAACAATAGTAACTTCTCTCTCTTCCCTCCTCCCATCTTCCATACACCAACAAGAGTCTTCAATAAAGGAAAGTGTGATGTTATTATTGCTTTACATTGATTTGTCATTCTTTTCTGTATGTAAATCTATATTTAAGCTCTAAAAGCAATTTTTTTTTTCAAACAAGTTGGCCGTCTACCCAGAGGCAGGGTGACCCAAAAACAAAGAAAATCCCCAAAAAGAAAATGCTTTCATCATTATTCAACACTTTCAACTCACTCACACATAATCAGTCTTTGCAGAGGTACCCAGGTACAACAGTTTAGAAGCATATATAAAGATATATAACATACCCTTCCAAACGGCCAATATCCCAAACCCCTCCCTTAAAGTGCAGGAATTGTGCTTCCCATTTCCAGTACTCAAGTCCAGTTATATAAAAATAACCGGTTTCCCTGAATCCCTTCACTAAATATTACCCTGCTCACACTCCAACAGCTCATCAGGTCCCAAAACCCATTCGTCTCCATTCACTCGTATCTAGTACGTTCACACATACTTGTTGGATGTCCAAGCCCCTCGCCCACAAAACCTCCTTTACCCCCTCCATTCAACCTTTCTGAGGATGACGCCTTCCTTTCCCTGCAGATTTATATGCTCTCCAAGTCATTCTACTTTGATCCATTCTCTCTAAATGACCAAACCACCTCAACAAACCCTCTTCAGCCCTCTGACTAATACTTTTATTAACTCCACACCTCCTCCTAATTTCCACACTCCG